ACCAAGGCCGTGTTCAAGAACGAGAGTGTCAAGATCATTGGGTCGGTGCTGCACCTGCACACGCTGGGACGACAGGTACGACCTGCACCAGGTACGACTTGCACCAGGTACGACCCATGCAGGGTGAAGCCCGGCCTTTTTATGGGAGTCTCGGAGCACTCTTTTTAGGAGGCTTCTTTGCATGTGCATGTGCAGTGGCCCATGGCCAGATAACCACGAGAATTTAGCGTTCTCATCAGTTTTCTTACCGTGCAGATGTTCACTGACGTGACCAGGGCGACAGCAAGGTCGCCATGCCACGTGCATGGCATGCTCATACGCAGTTCTCTCATCCTCTCTCTGTTTCCCACGTGCAGATGTTCACTGACGTGATCAGGGGCGGCAGCAAGGTCAGCACCATCAACCGCCAAGACTACTAGTGAGCGCACACCTCCCCTCGCTCATCCCCTCACCTCCCCTCGCTCATCCCTCACCTCCCCTCGCTCATCCCTCACCTCCCCTCGCTCATCCCCTCACCTCCCCTCGCCCATCCCCTCACCTCCCCTCGCCCATCCCCTCACCTCCCTCGCCCATCCCCTCACCTCCCCTCGCCCATCCCCTCACCTCCCTCGCTCATCCCCTCACCTCCCCTCGCCCATCCCCTCACCTCCCCTCGCCCATCCCTCACCTCCCCTCGCCCATCCCCTCACCTCCCCTCGGCCCATCCCCTCACCTCCCCTCGCCCATCCCCTCACCTCCCCTCGCTCATCCCCTCACCTCCCCTCGCCCATCCCCTCACCTCCCCTCGCTCATCCCCTCACCTCCACTCGCCCCCGTCTCTCTCTCTCTCCATCCTAGCACCCCATGCCATCCCAGCAGCCCCTTGCAATCCCGGCACACCCTTCCTGCTCTCCCTCAGCATAACCACCTTCCTTCCTTCCCTCGTCGCACCTTAGATTGTTTCAGCGACTTTGCATCGCAGCACACCATTCCCACACGCGCAGACTTTGAGCTCTTTCCTTCCTTCTCTCATACCACTACCCTCCACCTCAACTGTTTGCAGCGACTTCGCCTCCCAGCAGACGGTGCCCACTCTCCCTGAGTTTGAGCTCCTGCCAGGCGATGAGCTGCGCACAACGTGCGTGTGGGACTCCTCTACCCGCACCAAGGTAACGGGCGAGTGTGTGCAATAGTCGAGCGTTAGCAGTGTTACCAGTGCGTGCACGTCCCTGCTCCCCACTCGTGCATGTGGGACTCCTCTGCCCGCACGAAGGTAGTGGCCGAGTGTTACCAGTGCTACCAGCTCTAAGGACATACCGGTGGCAACGCTCCGTTCAACTGAGGATGAGATGTGCATCGACTGCTATGAGTTAGACAATCCCTCATTCTTCTCTCCCTGCCCCTGCCCCTCTCTGCCCCTCTCTGCCCCTCTCTGCCCCTCTCTGCCCCTCTCTGCCCCTCTCTGCCCCTCTCTGCCCCTCTCTGCCCCTCTCTGCCCCTCTCTGCCCCTCTCTGCCCTCACTGCGAGCAGGTGACGATGGGAGGGCCGTCAACCGAGGAGGAGATGTGCATTGACTACCTGGTGTACTACCCAGCAAGGCAGGGCCAAGGTAATTATTATCCTCATACTACAATACTAGTAGAGAGTGCAGCACGTCTCTCTATGCCAACCCTCCAACTCCCATCCTCCCACTTCCACACGTGTGTTGTTCCCCGGCACGGTGCAGAGAGAAATTCGTAACTTCTGTGTGGACAGCAGCACCACATCCGCCACGGACCCCCCCAGTCCCAACCTCTCTCTCCCACTCCAACAGCCCAACTGCCCACGCCCCATGCCCCATGCCCCATGCCCCATGCCCCATGCCCCATGCCCCATGCGACATGCCCCATGCCCCATGCCCCATGCCCCATACCCCATGCTCCATGCCCCATGCCCCATGCCCCATGCCCCATGCCCCATGCTCCATGCCCCATGCCCCATGCCCCACGCCCCATGCCCCACGCCCCATGCCCCATGCCCCATGCCCCATGCCCCATTCCCCATGCCCCATGCCCCATGCCCCATGCCCCATGCCCCATGCCCCACGCCCATGCCCCACGCCCCATGCCCCACGCCCCATGCCCCACGCCCCATGCCCCACGCCCCATGCCCCACGCCCCATGCCCCACGCCCCATGCCCCATGGCCCCATGCCCCATGCCCCATGCCCCACGCCCCATGCCCTCGCGCCATGCCCCATGCCCCATGCCCCATGCCCCATGCCCCATGCCCCATTCCCCATGCGACATGCCCCATGCCCCATGCCCCATGCCATGCCCCATACCCATGCTCCATGCCCCATGCCCCATGCCCCATGCCCATGCTCCATGCCCCATGCCCCATGACCCATGCCCCATGCCCCACGCCCCATGCCCCATGCCCCATGCCCCACGCCCCATGCCCCATGCCCCATGCCCCATGCCCCATGCCCCATGCTCCATGCCCCATGCCCCATGCCCCACGCCCCATGCCCCACGCCCCATGCCCCATGCCCCATGCCCCACGCCCCATGCCCCACGCCCCATGCCCCATGCCCCATGCCCCATGCCCCATTCCCCATGCCCCATGCCCCATGCCCCATGCCCCATGCCCCACGCCCCATGCCCCACGCCCCATGCCCACGCCCCATGCCCCACGCCCATGCCCCACGCCCCATGCCCCACGCCCCATGCCCCACCCCATGCCCACGCCCCATGCCCCATGCCCCATGCCCCATGCCCCATTGCCCCACGCCCCATGCCCCATGCCGCCATGCCCCATGCCCCATGCCCATGCCCATGCCCATGCCCCATGCCCCATGCCCCATGCCCCATGCCCCATGCCCCATGCCCCCACGCGCCATGCCCCATGCCCCATGCCCCATGCCCCATGCCCCATGCCCCATGCCCACTGCCCCATGCCCCATGCCCCATGCCCCATGCCCCATGCCCCATGCCCCATGCCCCATGCCCCATGCCCCACGCCCCATGCCCCATGCCCCATGCTCCATGCCCCATGCCCCATGCCCCATGCCCCATGCCCCACGCCCCATGCCCCACGCCCCATGCCCCATGCCCCATGCCCCATGCCCCACGCCCCATGCCCCACGCCCCATGCCCCACGCCCCATGCCCCCAGCCCATGCCCCCGCCCCATGCCCCACGCCCCATGCCCCACGCTCCATGCCCCTCGCGCCATGCCCCATGCCCATGCCCCATGCCCCATGCCCCACGCCCCATGCCCCATGCCCCATGCCCCATGCCCCATGCCCCATGCCCCATGCCCCATGCCCCATGCGACATGCCCCATGCCCCATGCCCCATGCCCCATGCCCAATGCCCCATGCCCCACGCCCCATGCCCCACGCCCCACGCCCCATGCCCCACGCCCCCTTCCCTCTCCCATGCGGAGATGAACCCATGCTTCGACTTCTGTGTGGACAGAACCACATTAGCCACGGACCCCACCAGCCCCACCCAACCTCACTTGATCTCTCCCCCCCTTTTCTCTCTCCCGCATACCTGTCGTGCCTCTGGGCTGCAGAGATGAATTCGTGCTTCGACTTACCCTATGCCCCACGCCCCATGCCCCATGCCCCATGCGCCATGCGCCATGCCCCATGCCCCATGCGCCATGCCCCATGCCCCCTTCCTCGGTGCCCCATGCAGAGATGAACTCGTGCTTCGACTTCTGCGTGGACAGCACCACATTCGCCACGGACCCCACCTCACCCAACCTGGCCACCTTCTACCTCTGCGGCACAGGGGATAGCAGCATCATCCCCTCCAATAAGAAGTGCACGATCGATTACGGCGCGAACGTGCCGCTCTCCACCCTCAACGGGTGTCCCGCTCAGTGAGTTCAGCACATGCCTGGACCACTGAAACCATGCCATATGCCCTGCACGGCGCACGTACAGTGGGTTCAGACCATGGTCTGCCATGGTCTGCCATGGTCTGCCATGGTCTGCCATGGTCTGCCATGGTCTGCCATGGTCTGCCATGGCCCTTGCACCGAAACCATGCCAGTGAGTGCAGACCATGGCAGGCAACGCTGGCAGGCATCGCTGGCAGGCGCCCCACCTGATGACGTCCCTGCACCGCAGCAATCCGCCCCGCCATTTCCACCTGCCACTGCACCATCACATATCACACTAACACATCACACTATCACATACCACACTATCACATACCACACTGTCACATATCACACTATCACATATCACACTGTCACATATCACACTCACATTCAATCATCCCCACCCCGTGTGCTCCCCCTTCCTCCTCCCCCAACCTACCCACCCCTCTTCCCCAATGCAGGACCCAGGTATCCCTGGCAAACATTCCATCTGAGACACTCTCCGCACCGGCCACTGCCCTCTCTCCTCCTGCCCCTGCTGCCCTTGCAGCCCCTGCCACCCCTGCTGCTTCACCCCCCGCCCCTGGTACCAGTGGAAAGGCGGCCCCAACATCATTTCAACTTGTCCCCGCGGCAATTGTCTTGGCTGTACTCTGCTCGTTCCTTGCCCTTCTCTGAAATAGCAGCGATGAATATATACTATTCCAATAGAGGTGTTCCAGTAGCAATGGTACTGGTACTGGACCAGGGCGGGCCAATATTGGAAGCGAAGCATTGTTGATTGCAATGTTCAATAGATTGAGTTGAGTTATATTCAACAATATTTTCCGGAGGGTAGCAGAGAACGCGGGCTTCTAGAATTGATGCACTCTCCTTCAAAATTGGCACACACTTTTTTAGTTATCCGTTTTTCCATTGAATCTTGGTGCTCTACACAACACTCAAGATTGGGTGAGCTGCATATGATACGCTATTCTCTACTATGCCTCGTGTAGATGTCATGTGCAATTTTTTAACTTCGCTGTCGGAAATACGAATGCGCCCATAGCGGAGATGTGGCGAACATGGCTGTAAGACGCCCCCCGTAATGCGCTGGACTTGTGGTTCGCCCGCATTTGGCGCATTACGGCGTCTGGGATGCGGTTCGAACAGCCCTCGTCTTCGTACTCTTAGAGTGGTTTAAAACGATTCGGTAGGTTTCAGTTATAGAAAGCCGTGGTACAACCATCATGGGCCCGTTTGTTCCTAGAGACGAGCAGGTGGGCGGTTTTGGAGTAACGAAGATGGGCGGTCTTCTTGACCAGTGCGTACGTGGTCCGCTAACTCGTCGCGATCCACTCCACCAATCAGTAAAACCCGTTGCCGTTCCCTCACCTCACACCACACGAGAGAACGGGATTTTGTGAGATCTGGGACGGCTGGGACGGCTGGGACGGCAGGGACGGGCGAGACGGGCGAGACGGGCGAGACGGGCGAGACGCGAGGCGGCCACCGAGGGGCGGCGTCAACTTGAAGTGAGTGGTCAACAGACATTTGCGTCTCCCGTCCACGCAATCCGCACACCAGGCGTTTCTGGCCACACATGAGGTGCTCCACCCGGTTCCACGTGAGTGACCAACCAGTAAGTAGTACTTAGTATTCAATCTTTACGGTTGTAATTCGATGAGACAGCAGTTGGCAGCGAACATCCCTCACTAGTAGAACTCGAACTTCCAGCCATCGAAAGCTGCAACTTGCTCTGACGATCGTCATGATGAGGGCGATTTATGAGAATTCTAAAAAATCACCCACACGCCACCGTGGCCGCTACGGCGTTTCGCCCGCAACCAGCGCATGCCTTCTCCTTCTCCTAACTCTCACGTCCAATGCTCTCACCCATTCTGCGGCCTCCGCAGAAGGCGGCGCAGAAGACGGCGCAGAAGACGGCGCTGCGATTCCGACCGTTCCCGAGCTGACCTCCTATTCCAGCGTGGCGCTATTGGATCCGCGCTTCGAGCTCTTCTGGTCCGTCAACAGCAGCGACGCGACCATCCACGTGGCGGCTAGAGCGCAAACGGCGGGATGGCTCGCTATAGGCATCTCCGAGATTGGATCCATGGTTGGATCAGGTACGAAATTTAGACGGAAATCCTGACGTTTCAGCCATGGCGTGTGGGTACTACGAAACTAGCACCTCTGCTGCTTTCCTCGCATCCGTCATGGTTCCTTTGGCGGATTATGTGCGTCGTTTGTTCCCCGTGTGTTGCTCCAAACAGACGCGCTTGTGGCTTGGGTGGCGGAGACCGAAGGTCGCGTGTATGCGACGGACCGATTCATCTTCGACAAGTCCGGCCCAGCATTGGACGCCCAGCAGGACTGGCACGTGCTGGGCGGCAGCCAGGCCACCAACCAATCCACGGGCGACACGTGGACCACGGTGCACGCGTGGCGCAAGCTGGACACGGGAGACTGCAACGACCGTCCGATCGTGCCGGGGAAGCTTCATAACCTCATCTGGGCCATTGGTTCCACGGATGACGTCAGCTACCATGGGTCCACCCGTGGGGGGTCCTCCCTTTTGCTCGCTCCTGCTCCCGGCCCCTCGATTCTCTCCCCCCGCCTCCCTCCTCGTCTTCTTCTGCGGCGGCAATTGCAGCTGAGGCTGATGCTGCTGGGAGGAGGCCGAGAAGTCAGGGGGTTTTGGCTGGACCTCAGCAGCAGCAGCAGCAGGAGAGCATGCTCAAATTCACAGTCTCGGGTTACCGCGTGCCGACAAATCACACCACATACCAGTGCAAGGTACGCAAGGCACATACACGTGGAGGCGTGCATTGCTGGCCGTCCAGAGGTCCAGATCTTACGCGCATTCGCCAGCCCTTTTCGCTTACGAGCCCTTCATTTTCTCATGTTTTCCTGTGTTTCTGCCGCCCATCTGTTTCTGCCGCCCATCTGTTTCTGCCGCCCATCTGTTTCTGACACCCTTCGCTGACATCTACAGGTGGTGGACGTGCCTCTGAAGGTCAAGACCCATGCGGTTGAGTGGGGCGCCGTGCTCAACTCTACCCACATCTCAGCCGTCCATCATGCCTTCCTCTACGGCTGCAAACCGTAAGCACCAAAGGATGGGTGCACATCAGCTTACTCGCAAGGCAAAGGCTCCCCAAGATCTTTGATCCCAGACCCACTCACTCATGTGCAAGGTACCACATGTCTTGCACCACACCTCACCTAACCTCACCTCTTCAAAAGATGCACATCGGCTTACTCGCAAGGCAAAGGCTCCCCAAGATCTTTGATCCCAGACCCACTCACTCATGTGCAAGGTACCACATGTCTTGCACCACACCTCACCTAACCTCACCTCTTCAAAAGATGCACATCGGCTTACTCGCAAGGCAAAGGCTCCCCAAGATCTTTGATCCCAGACCCACTCACTCATGTGCAAGGTACCACATGTCTTGCACCACACCTCACCTCACCTCACCTCTTCAAAAGATGCACATCGGCTTACTTGCAAGGCAAAGGCTCCCCAAGATCTTTGATCCCAGACCCACTCACTCATGTGCAAGGTACCACGTGTATTGCACCACACCTCACCTCACCTCACCTCTTCAAAAGATGCACATCGGCTTACTCGCAACGCAAGGCAAAGGCTCCCCAAGATCTTTGACCCCAGACCCACTCACTCATGTGCATGGCACCATGTGTGGCAGACGGCCTGCAGCACCTGCGTAGCGATGGGGGACTCAGAGGGGGGAGCCCTTCCCCACACCCTTGACACCTCATCTCACTCACCTTCTCTGCCCCCCTCTTCTCCCCCGAACAGGGAAGAGTACGCCAGTCTCCCCCCCGTCGGTCTCGGCTTTGACTGCATGTACAAGACGCCCTGCAGCACCTTTGTGGCCGTGTGGGCGTGGGGGGGCCGGCCATTCACATTCCCCGACAATGTCGGCTACCCATCGGTCCAAGCTACTTCACCAAGTTCGTGCTGGAGGTGGGTGCAGTGCGGTGCAGAACTTACCCCGCTCCTGCTTCAAATCAGGGAGCATTCGGCCCACAACGTCCCTTTTATTGCTCGTAGTCTCCCAAGCCTCCTGAGCCTCATACTTTCCCCAGCCTCATAGTCTTCCGAGCCTCGGGTTCTTCTGCGCCTCATGGTCTCCCGAGCTTCATGGTCTCCCGAGCCTCATTGTCTCCCGAGCTTCATGGCCTCCCGAGCCTTGTGGTCTCCCGAGCCTTGTGGTCTCCCGAGCCTTGTGGTCTCCCGAGCCTTGTGGTCTCCCGAGCCTTGTGGTCTGACGCGCGCCCCCAATTGCACCTCCTCTTGCCCCCCCATGCTGTTTCCACTCCCTCCCCCCAGCCAGTTGCACTACACTAACCCCGAGGCGTTTGCCGACGTCATCAACAGCCCGGGCATCTATCTGATGCTGGCGCCATCCCCAACCTTGATGGACGCGTCCATAATGAAAGTCGGCCACGTGGACCATCACGCGCTCATCCGCATTCCCACCACCTTTTTTCCCCCTCTCTTGCGCCCTCACATCACATGCACCCTGCCCCCTTGTGCGCCTCCCCTTGAGCGCCTCCCCTTGTGCGCCTCCCCTTGAGCGCCTCCCCTTGTGCGCCTCCCCTTGAGCGCCTCCCCTTGAGCGCCTCCCCTTGTGCGCCTCCCTTGCCCCCCCTCTTCCCCCCCATGCTTTTTCCACTCAATCTCCCTCCCCTCAGATGCACTACACTAACCCCGAGGCTATTGATGACATCATCGACAGCTCCGGCATTTATCTGAAGCTGGCGCCGGCCCCCACCCTGATGGACGCGTCCATTATGAAAGTCGGCCTCGTGGACCATCGCGCACTCATCCGCATCCCCCCCGGCATGCCGTCTTGGACGCAAGCAGGCTCTTGCCCCAGCGAGTGCACTGCCTCGGTGTTCAAGAATGAAAGTGTGAAGCTGATCGGGTCGATACTGCACCAACATAATATTGGGAGACAGGTGGGTCCTGCATCCCCCCGGCATGCCGTCCTGGACACAAGCGGGCTCGTGCCCCGGCGAATGCACCAAGGCTGTGTAGAATGAGAGCGTGAAGCTGATCGGGTCCATACTGCACCAGCATAATTTAGGAAGACAGGTGCGACCTGCACAATACTTGAAGCATTATGCTATAGAAAAAAAAAACCGTGCTTGGTTTCCGCTCGAAAGTCGACTTTTTGTGTATACTAGGTCTTGTCAATGCGTGCTGCTGCATCATCCCTCCTGGTATGCCCTCTTGGACCCAAGCTGACCTTGCTTCTCTGTCTCTTTCGCCCCTGGTCTCTCCTCCATCCATGGGCTGATGTACACTGAGGTGATCAGGGGCGGCAGCGAGGTCACTCCGTGAAAGGTTGCCTCATGAGCATTCTCCTCATCGTTCTTCTGTGCATCCTCTCATGAATCCTCTCTCTCTTCTCTGCATCCTCTCTCTCCCCTCCACGTGCAGATGTACACTGAGGTGATCAGGGGCGGCAGCGAGGTCGCCACCATCAACCGCATTGATTACTAGTGAGTGCACCTCCTTCCCCTCTCCACCTTCTCTCCTTTCTCTCCTTCCCTCTCTCCATTCCCTCCTCTTCCCTGTCTCCCTATCCCCTATCCCCTGTCTCCCTATCCCCTCAGGATAACCTTCTGCCTTCCTGCCCTCGATCCCCCCACTCACCACTCCAAATCAAAGCAGCGACTTCGCATTGCAGCAGACCACGCTCGTGCTCCCTGAGGAGGACCACCTTTCTTCTTTCCTTGCATCTCCACCCACAAATCCCAATCTTCCATCGGCTTTGCATCGCAGCAGACCGTGCCCGTGCCGCCTGAGTTCGACCTCCTGCCTGTCTGATAATGGTTCAGGTTTGCGACGTCTCAAAACGCATCCTTCCTTCCATCCCACCCCATCCACCACCCACCACCCTCTTCCCTACCAGCGACTTTGCATCCCAGCAGACTGTGCCCGTGCTCCCTGAGTTCGAGCTCCTGCCCGGCGACGAGCTGCGCACCACGTGCGTGTGGGACTCCACCGCCCGTGAAACGGTACGCAACTGTGGGCCCAGCACGGTGTTACCGTTTGGGCCGGCTCAAACCTACCACACCTGGGTTCGACCTCTTGCCAGGCGACGAGCTGTGCGGCGCACCACGTGCCTGTGGGACTCCTCTGCCCGTGATAAGGTACACACCTGTAGGCCCAGCACGGTGTTTCTTTTTGGGTCGGCTCAAACCCACCACACCCGAGTTCGACCGCCTGCCTGGGTTTGAGCTCCTGCCAGGAGACGAGGTGCACACCACGTGCGTGTGGGACCCCTCTGCCCGAGATAAGGTGCAAACCTCCAGGCCCAGTACGTGCCTGCCAGCACAGTCGCCTCAAAACCCACGCCCGGGCGTGAGGGCATTCCACCGCTCGTACTCAGGCGGCTGGCTGTGAGCATCGTATGCTGTGGATTCTCATGTGTCACCACACGATGTCTTACTGTGTTGGCGTTATCAAACCACCAGTCCAACAACGCCAACACAGTAACCTACCCTGCCATGGTCACATGGTTCCATCCATTCCTATCCTGCCCACTGTTTCTTGTGCCATCCCTCCCCACCCTTCATCCCCCCTCCCCCCCCTTTCCGTTCTCTCTTCCCTTCCCCCCTTGGCTCCACGTGCCCGCAGGAGACGAAGGGCGGTCTGGCTGCTGAGGATGAGATGTGCGTTGACTACCTCGTGTACTACCCGGCTAGACACGGCCAAGGTTAGTGCTGATACGCCTAGAGAACAGCTGTGTAGTATCTGGCTAGACACGCTCGGCCAAGGTGAGTGTTGAGAGATTGCTCTAGAGCACCACCTGGGAGAGGAAGGGCGGTCTGGCTGCTGAGGATGAGATGTGCGTTGACTTGACACCCTTGTGTTTTGGACTACCCGGCTAGGCATGGCCAAAGTGACTTGAGAACTCTCTAAGTACGCCACTACCTCGTTTATTACCCCGCTAGGCAGAGCAATACACCCACTCCCTCTCCCACTCCCTCTCCCACTCCCTCTCCCACTCCCACTCCCACTCCCACTCCCACTCCCTCTCCCGCTCCCACTCCCTCTCCCACTCCCTCTCCCGCTCCCACTCCCTCTCCCGCTCCCACTCCCACTCCCACTCCCGCTCCCACTCCCACTCCCACTTCCACTCCCACTCCCACTCCCACGTAGCACCTCACGACCACTCAAGCTACAATAATCCTGCACATGCATGGCTCTCCCTCCCTCCCTGGTGCAGACATGCATTCGTGCTACGAGGTGTGTGCAGCAAACGACAACGGCACTCTCACCGTGGACCCACCCCACCAGCCCCAACCTTCTTGCTCTCGCCCCCTTTTCCCACTTGCCCTCTGCCCACATGCCTGTGCTTTCTCCCTGGTGCAGACATGCATTCATGCTACGAGGTCTGTGCCTCAGACAACAACGGCACTCTCACCATGGACCCACCAGCCCCAACCTCTCCACCTTCCACGTCTGTGGCTCGGGCAGCAACAGCCTCATTCCCTCCAACCAGCGGTGCACGATCGACTTTGGGGCAAATAAGCCCCTGTCTGTCGTCAACGGCTGCCCCACACAGTGAGTGCTGCCCATTGAAGCCATGCCATACAGTCATACAGCCATACGGCCGTACAGCCCTACTCCCCCCATCTGCCACTGCGCCATCTCACTTCACCATCAAATCCACACGTCCACATCCCAATGCTCCTCCACTCATCTTCTTCCCCCCCCTCTCTCTCCCACCTCTCCCCCCTCTCTCTCCCACCTCTCCCCCCTCTCTCTCCCACCTCTCTGCCCTCTCTCTCCCCCTCTCCCCCCACCGCAGGACCCAGGCGTCGCTGGCAGGCATTCCACCTGAGGCCATATCTGCACCGCTGGACTCCCCCCTCCTTCCCCACCTGCTGCTGCCCTCTCTCCTCCTGCCCCTGCCTCCCCATCTCCCCCCACTGCCCTCCCTCCCCTCCTGCAAATTCACCTGCCACCACCATTTCTCCTCCTGCCACTGCCCTCTCTGTTCCTGCTGCTGCTGCTGCTGCTGCTTCACCCCCGATGCCACTGGGAAGGCTGCCCCAGCAACAGTCAGCAATGTCCTCACTACAGCGGTTATGGCTTTGCTGTACTCCTTCCTCGCCCTTCTCTTCTAAATGGAGGCCCATGCGCCCAAAATGAGTGTACCATGTACGGTAGATTATTCCAAGTGGTGTAATTTCTATTTATTATGATTATTTCATACTACTGGCAGGCCTGATTTTATCAGACTATTTTAGTCTGATTGTCTGAAATTTCAGACCTATTTTTTTTTGCCGATCCTGATTTTTCAGACTTGCCAATTTCTGAATGCTGAACCCTTCAGAGTTATATGTTTTTGAATCCTGAGAATCTCAGACTTGGCAGTTTGTGGATATTGAGTTTTCAGAGCACAGCGTGTACGGACCCCCGCAACCTATAAAATCTGGCTAAGTCATAGCAGCCAGAGACAGTTCCCCCAAGCACAACCAGCAGCCCACAAAAATCGTTGAAGTCCTGTTCTAGAGACACCCCTTAACACCCCCAACACCCACAAAAATCGGCTAAGTCTTCCATTTTTAGAGACATTCTCCCCGCACCCCCTTTCCCCTGATTTTTTTTGTCGTCCTCTGAGCGGGTGGCCACAAGTCCCTCAACAACCAATCACACACTTGCAATGACCCATCACAGACAAACTCCCTGCTGCTGTACTGTACACGCATTGTCCTTCGACGTGCTTCGCCGTACCCGGAGCAGGTGTTTGAGGCTGTGATTGGCCGTCAGACCAAAATCACGCAAAAGTCCGAGGTACTGTACCTAGGAGCAATTATGAGGAGCGTGACTGGTCCTTAGACCAAAGTACTGTATCACGCTGGTTGCCCGAGGAAGGCTAGAGCAGGCTCGCGCGAGGGACGTGATTTGTGTGAGCACAAACTGCGCGGTGGGTGGATTCCCTACAGCCTCGCGTCATACTAACCTCGCGTCAGACTCGTCATTTTGCCCGAACCTCTGCCCAGACTCACCTCCAGGGTTCCCGTTAGCCAGACGAAATCCGTCTGTTCATCTGAGAATCAGACTCACATTTTCCGTGCCATCTGATTTTTTGACAACCATTAATTTTCCATCTGAACGACCCATCTTGGTTATATAAATTTGTCTGAATTCTCAAACTAGGTATAGGCAATCGTCTGAATTTTCAGATAGCGCGTATATTTCCGTCTGATACGGACACATCTGCCCAGTTCCCCACCCTCCCATCGGCCCATGTGCGCACTGGGCCACTTGTGCCATCCAGTCCTAGGAAACCGTCGCATGCACAATAAAGTCGTCGCGTGGCCTCTCATCGCCGCTGTACATTTCGTATCAGATTTACAGCTGCCTGAGTCACATGCTGTTACCGATTCGTCGATATGTGCAAAACCTGGCTTGCTGGCAACTCTAAGGCATGATTTGCATGCAGCATACTGCCAGCGCATTGCCTGCGCTGTAGGGAAGCCACCCTCGATGCCTGCCAGCGCGAGATGAGTTTCGTGCTAAATCAGGCACCGTCCCATGCAAGGCGCCGAGGCATCCTTGCGTAATGGCAGTGCAAGGCTCTCGTCGTAGCTCCACATCTGTTCTGTCACCCACTGGTTTTCATTTTTCTATACGAGATGCCTCCCCCCTGCCTCGTTCCTCCTAGTCGTCCTCTCAGCAGAGTCGCAAGTGTAGTCTTGTATCTGCTCGACGAATAGGTCTCATGGCTGCTGCCGCTGGTTCCACAAAGCCAGCGGTAGATTCCCCCGTCGAGGAGCATGTAGTAGCCTTGCTTCCCAGGCTATCAGGCATCGACCTTCTTACTGGTCGTGCTACCACTGTAGCGTCGGCACCTGCACACGCCGCATCAACTATATCGACCCCACCGTCCCATTTACCTCCGCTAGACACAGAACCGTGGATCACATTCGCGCCTGAGGGTACAGTGCCCCCCACGTCTGAGCGTCCTAGCAGCCCGTTAAGGTCTCCTAGCAGTCGGTCTGGGCCTCATACTAGCCAGTCAGGGCGTTCTACCAGCCCGTCACCGCATGTCGCACCTGCCGTTTCCGTCGGCCCGTCCGCTTGCATCTCGGGAGGGCCCGTGCTTCCTGTGCGCAAGCCTGGAAGGGTGCAATACCAGCAGCGCAAGCTTACCTTCAGTAGGCCTGCCTCATCTGCCTCCACGTCCTCCGTGCGCCTTGGCGAGCAGCGGGCTCGTACTGATCCCGCGCCGTCCACACCGTCGGACGATGAAGGTCCGTTTCCCTTAATAGTCGCAGAGCTTCAGGCAAAGGCGGAAGAGCAGTGGACGCGCCATTTTTCCGTGGCTCGTCATCTCTGAAACCTCCGAGGGGCGTCCGTGCATGAAGTGCACAGTCTGCATGGTGCACGGTGACGACCTCGACTACCAGTACGGGCGCAATGGAGAGGGCGGGGATCGATATTCAAAAGCAGACTATGCGGAAGCATCAGTACAGCCAGAAGCACGAGCAGCGATGGCGCGCAAGCTTCAAATTGACGGCAAGAAGGCAAAGCAGCGGTCCATCGTGGAGTTTGAAAATGGCGACGCGAAATCCAAGCGACTGAAGCGGCTCATGGCGATCGTCCACTTCATCTGCAAGTCGGACGCCCCAGTTCTCCTCTTCGTATCACTGGTGAGTTCATGGCACAGCAAGGCACTCCTGATCTGCCAGAGAAAGAACGTGGAACCTACCAAAGCGAGTAAGTGCTGTCAATCCTGCGGGGCGCCTTGTTTGTGCAGGGTTCTCATGATATTTCTGTAAGCCACCGTTGTTTGTATTCCGGAGATGGTCACGGAAATTCTTGCTATTAAGCAGTGCTTTTACCTCTTTGTGTGCAGGTATGGCTTCAACCAACTCATTGAGAACATGGTCGGCTACCTGCGCACGAAGCACTGACCCACATCAAGGCGAACCCATTTCTCGGCATCCAGCTTGACGAGAGCACCGACAGGCGGCGGGCCAAGCATATGATAGTGTATCTGACGTTCCTGCGCGATACGACGGTCGTGACTGAGTTCTTCGCTCACCTGACGGTCGAGAAGTGCGACGCCGCATCGCTTCAAGCCGTCCTGCTGACACACCTGGTGGGACAAGGCGTCGACCTCAACCGCATATGTGGCATAAGCACTGATGGAGCGAGTGTGATGACGGGAGCCCAAAACGGGCTTGTCGCACGGCTTTGCACTCGTATTCCTCACCTCGTGTCATGCCACTATATTGCTCATAGGTAAGTTGTGGCCCACATCAGTTTTGCCTTATGGTTTTCTCTGCCCGGATTCTGACCAGCTTCATTTGCTATGTGTGCAGGGAAGCTCTCGCTGCCAAGGATGCTGCAGCAGAGTTCCCTGACTTGGGGATGGTTGACAAAGTCATACGATCCTTGGCCGGCATTCTCGGCCGGTCGATTGTGTCCATTCCCGATTCAAAGAGCTGCAGGAGGTGGTCACCGAGACAAACCTCGAGATGCAAGGGATTCACAATATCCGTGGTTGTTCGGGGCGAGGCCATCCAGCGTCTGGTTGAGGTTTTCCCTGCAGCAGTGCTTCTCCTAAGGGAGTATGATTCTGCTATGTATGCGCTCGTTATAACCTTGAAGTTCCATTTTCTCTTGTATTTTCCTTGCTGACGTTTTGAAGGAGCTCACGCCCTCAATCTGAAGTTCCAACGGCGGCAGGTGCGGGTACCATTTAACCGTTTCCAACATTTTATAATTCTCCGTTTCTAATCCCGTACTTGCCCCTTCGCAGGTCGACGTCACCCAAGTGCTTAGGATAGTGGACAACACCATCGTGACGCTGCGGGCTCGTTATGTCAACTACGGCACCTGCTTTGGCCCCGCAGAAGGAGATTTCTCGAATTCCTGAACCTGGTAGCTACGGAGCCGACATCACCATTAGCGGCGTGGACGCGAACGTCACCCCGACGACTCACACGTACGAGCTGCAGACTGCCGACATTGAAGGGCAACAAATTTGACGGGAACATCGAGTCGCTGCAGGAGCTGGCGACGGCGGTGGTGCTGTCCATTATCAGCAAGCTGCAGGCGCGACATTCTGACTTGGCGTTGTTGAACGGCACGCGACTGTTCAAGGCAGGGTCTCTATCCCGGACGGCGGCAAAGCGTGAGCGGAAGTTTCGTGGCATGGCTGCAGGCTCTCCACAACCTCTGGAAGCGCGACTCCTCCGCTCCCGACACGCTGCCTGGTGATTGTCGTATTTAAGCATGCATGTGGCTCAAGTCTTTCTCTGCCTTGTTCATGACGTGTATTTACTTCAACCCTTTCTACCGTTTACTAAACACCCTCCTTTCTCCCCTGGCTCTTCTATCCCCTATCCTGAAGGTGTCACTGGGGGAAGGCAAAAAAGGAGCTGAATAGCTTCACCACTATCATGTCTACTCACCAGGATGACCTCGACTTTCATGCAAGCTTGAAGAACATGCTCTCCACTCCCGACTGGAAGACGGCCTACCCGAATATCGTCAGCATTTGGATAGCAGTGGCGGTGCTGCCGTTGAGCACTGTCGAGTGCGAGCGCGGCTTCAGCCCCCAGAACGTCATTAAGAGTTGGTTGCGCGGCAACCTGTGTGACGCGAAAGCTCAGCGATCTGATGACCATGTCGCTCCTCGACTACGACATGGAGTGGGACGGCATGGTGGGCGAAGTGGCGTGGGGTCAAGAAGAGGCGGCCCGCGAGGGAGGTAGTGATGGGGCAGGGTACACGTTCAGCGAAGAGGCAGAAGCGGTCAGCGGCATTCAAGGCGGCAGAACAGCAGCGAAGGTAGCAGCAGCAGCAGCACGACAGGCAGAGGCACTTGCAGCAGCAGAGGCGGCGCGGATGTTTGATGAGGATGGTTCAGCAGGCACGGTATGGAAGAGGAAGGGCAAGGGCAGAGCGATTTTGCTAGAGTCTGATAGTGAGGAGGATGAGCAAGGATGCAGCAGTGGCAGTGAGTCTGAGTAGGGTAGGGTTAATGCTAGTTGGTTATGCAGCGGTATTGGTTGGAAGCTCTAGTGAGCTTGTAGGATGTTAGCAGCAAGCCAAACTCATTGGTAGAGTTACGAGTAGCTGCAGTAGGATGTTTGTTGGCTACAACTGTGGCTCGTAGGATGACTTAGTGCCCGTAGCTGCTGCTGTCGTAGGAGGAATCTTATTACGAGTAGTGCTGCTGTGCTGTCTCGAACACATCT